GACCTTCATCCGATGCCAGTCCCTGACTGGGTACTTATCACAGTACCCGGCTTGCGGCTGCACGTGGTATACTAGAGCTAGTGGGATTGCTCTGCACTTACAGGATTCGTATGGACTAACTACCGAAGCGGCGCTTCTCTCTCTCTACACTGTGGATCCAGGCTATCCAAGCGGTCCAGCTTCCAACTAGCCTGGGGGAAACCGTAACAGATACCATTCTAGCTTAACCAAATCAGAGGGTTATAGATTTGCTCCACTCAATGTCTGAACCCTTAACTGTAGGGGTCTGAATTTCCTAGGATGCAGGGTGTGGGGGGTGGGGGCAGTGTGTGTGAATGTGTAGGGATCTATTAAGTGTGTGGGTAGCCTCAAGCAAATATTTTTTTATTTAAATCAGATGCTTTATGTCCCCCCTCCCTTCTTACCTTTGCTCAGGGAGGGGGAACATTTCTCAATCCCTGGTGGTCCGGTGGAGAAACTTTGGTGATCTCCGTGGTGAGTGAACTCTAGCCGGCAGATTCTGCGGCTAGAGTTCACTCTTGCGAGATCCGGAGCATTGCCATAGTAACCTCAGCAACACTCCATGCTCATGAGAGGAGGACCTCAGATCTCCCCTCCAGTCCGTGAAGGCACATAGCAGGGCCGGCACTTAAATAGCACCGGCCCTGCAGGGGAGAGCAATGGACAACCCTAGTTTTCTCGGGTGGGGGCAATTTCTGGAAACAAACACAATTTCTACGTAGAACTTTGACCAAGCTGTCAAGCTTTACAGAGGCCAGACTGACTGTAGGTGGAAACCTTAATGTTTCACTAAATCCTAACCTTAACTCCTCGATGGGACATGTGTTGCGCATATCGGAACTCAGAGCATTTAAGAGAGAAGTGCGAGATTTGCTTCTTGTGGATTGTTGGAGAGTTTTGATTCCTATATGTAAACATTACACCTATTACACTCCATGGCAACTAGTCCTGCCTTGTATATATAATATATATTATATAGCCTCCACCTAGTCAAAAAAGAAAGAGAAACAGAGACAGCTTAACAAATTCACAGACTAAATTTCCAAGTTGGAGGCGCCTAATCTCTTAACACGGTTACTGAGGAACGGTAACTTCCACCTAGAATCACTGGCCTGCACAAACCACTGTACTGCTATAGGAAGGGAAGGATCCTGAATTATGTGCCAGTTTCCGGCCAATAACGCTCCTTAACATGGACATAAAGCTATTTTTCAAGATCTTTGCAATTCAGATGCAGTCACAGTTGGGCACTCTACTTCACTTGAATTAATTTCGTTTTATACCTGGATGGCATTCCAGGGACAACACACTGCAACTTTTTAGCATCCAGCACTTGGCTAGAAAACTGGTTGTTCATATGTTTTTTTTTGTCCACAGAAGCCAAGAAATATTTTGTTCGGGTGGACTGCAAGATTATTTACCTGACTTTGCAGAAAATGGAGTTCAGAGACCATATAAAGGCATGGATTTTGTTATTGTACACAAGACCCAACATGAGAGTCTCAGTTAATGGAGCACTTATGGAAATTATACAGATCCGAAATGGCACAAGGCAGGGGTGCCCCTATCACCTTCAATGTTTACCCTAACATTAGAGCCCCTCCTCTAAGCTGTCCGGGAATCAGCTGATATCACAGGATTTTGCCAGGGAGATGGGGAGCACAAGGTGGCCGAGTATGCGGACAACATATTGTTTTTCAGCAGGAATCCTTGTGTGTCCATCCCATGTCTGATGGAAGTTTTTTGGGAACCCTCTCCAACCTGAACAATTCATAGAGTGAAGTTTTGAATGTATCCCTGGCAGTAAGTGAGGTGGATTTGATAAGAACACGGTTCCCCTTCCAGTAGATCTGAGACCAGACAAAGTATTTGGGAGTCTGAGTCCCGTCTGACCACTCAAACTGTATTCAAGAAACCACATGCCCATGCTATGGACACTGCAGGATGTTGGAATCTTCCTCACATCTCTTGGCTGGGCAAATATCCTTACTCAGAATTAATATATTCCAGGTATTTGTTTCAAACAATCCCTCTACATTTACCTATAGCATTTTTCGCATCCCTCAAATTGACAGTGATTACTTATGTGTGGAAAGGGAAGAAATTGCAGATAAGATATGTCACTTTATGTCTTGCATTGTCGACTTTTGGTACTATCACCAGGTGGCAGTACTCCAGCAGATCCTGCAATGGCATGTTCAGACCACGGTTAACCAGTGGGTAGGTGGGATTTTAAAGGGAAGGTTACAGTGAAGCACTACCCTCGCTGTTCTAGAATTCAGAGACCAAGCTCACAACCCACATCCTGGGGAGTGCACCATTAGGACAGACATTGCAAACTTGGTTTGGGATGTTTAATGTTGCGCATTGATTGCCCATTGCAAATCCACTCCTGCCACTCACATGCAACTGGAACTAAGCTGGTGGATTGCCAGGGAGGGAGTTAGCTTTTCTGGGAGATGGGGATTCATCCTGCTTCAGCAGGTTTTAAGGGTAAGCTAATGGAAGCCACTGAAAGAGCTGATGGTAGACAGGACACATATGGGTAAGCAGATATTCTGTTACAAGCAGTTACAGTATTTTATATATTTATCCCAGACAGGGGCTAGGTTCACAGGGAGCTTACTTGGTTTTAGGGCCTGTGTTCGGGGACATGGAGCTGAGGAGCTGAAAGAAAAAAAGTATATGGTACAAATATTGGATGTAATAATGACTTTTTGGACCTATTGTATTATTGTTTTTGTTAAAACAAAGGTTTTGGTCATTATTACAACCAATATTTGTATCAAATACCTTTTTTTCTTTTGTAGCAAAATTTTGTTACCCATTGTTATCTTTCCAGTTAGGACCTCACCATTACACTGAGCGGGCTATCTGCTCACGTAAATGTGAGTACAACCTATTGATTTTCACTCCTGATTAAATATATTTTATACAAAGAGCACTATCTTTGCACTTTTTTATTTTCACATATACCCTACTGATAAGACACGTGCTGGTCAATATATGTACACCAATATCCTTGAAGTAGGGGATCAAATCCACTGCAGGCGCTTTATACTAGAGCTGGTTTTAGCTCTATCCCATGTGAGTAGGCCCTTTGGATTTCTCTTTGTTCAAGTTTTTATCATATTTTATACATATTGCACTACTGGAGTTTTTTCTTTTCTTTTATGTTCCTGGATTCTGAACACTTGGAAGGTATACTAACCTGAAGATACAGGCAAACCCTTACAGACTTATTTATATTTTATCCTGGACTTTTGGTTTGTTCTTTTTATATACACAATTTATACTATCAAATGAACAGTGTATAATTTGTTTTATTATATTTGTTTTACTTAAAGCTATTCTGATTCCCAACCCCTTGGCACACCCTATTGTTCTGTACTTTCAGTGTTAGGACTTCCCTAGAGTGAGAAACCTTAGCATGGTGGCATCTCATGGCCATTGGGAGTAACCTTCAGTGTCAGGTCAATTTCAAGTCCTACATTATTTAGCTGGAGTCTTTGTTTCCCGTTTGTTCTGTCTCTGCATGCTTACTTGCTACATTCTGTGTCTCTCAATATCAGTTCATATAAACAAAAGAAGAAAACAAACTAAAGAACTAAAGTAAAAGAAAATATTTTCCTTTCCTTTAAATTTAATAGTTACATGTTATACCACAGTCAGATTAAACAAGAAACAAAAACTGTTTCTACAATTACGTTACACTGTTATTCATGTGTTAGAGCGATTTGTTTTTTTAAAAGTTACACAATTCATCTTGGGAAAATGGTAGCTTATAAAAGGGAATTATAACTCCAAAAGAATAAAATATTAATAATATTGAGACCGTGGGAGTCCCAAACTCCCATATCACGCTCCCACTAACACATTTTCACTAACTCTGGGATTAATCAATACACACCGATCACTTATATAAGGACACTCATTATAGAACTAAGGTTTGCACATGTATAGAGACATTTACCATCATCTCAAACCTTGTAAAATATATTTAAGAACAGTAAAATCATTTAAAAAGAGTAAATAATTTATCATTCAAGGATTTGTTATTTTATGTTTTGTCTTTTTCTGAGTATGTATATATTTACGAAGAACTCCAAGAGTGAAGCTCAAACATGGTGGTGTTAACCTGAATCTACTTGAATTAAGGTGAAATATATTTATATCTTTTTTATATATATATAATTTATTGTTTTTTCTGCCTTATGTTGATTTGGTGTGTATGTATGTTTTATTTACATGCTAATTTATCATATCATGTTCATCATATCGTCAAATAAACATTGTGTGTCTTTTAGTATTTAACGGTAACCCCCGTCAAGAAAATAACTCAATATTATTACAGGTGCCAAACAATAAGGCAACAATAGATAAATATCTTTCTTGTGAATAAGTTACTGTTAGTATTTTAATGTATGGTATGTCATGCTTAACCCCTTAAGGACATGTGTGACATGTCATGATTCCCTTTTATTATTATTCTTATTATTATTATTATTCCCTTATTCCAGAAGTTTCATCCTTCAGGGGTTAAAGACAGTTTTAGATTCCTTCATTTATTAAGATTAGAACAAACTGTCATTGTTGTTGGACAGTCATTGTCACACATTATATTTATGACATAATTTGCTCTTCTCTAGGTGCATTATGATAACTTTTATGGAAGACTCCAACCAGACGGCTGAGAATGGATTCATCCTCCTTGGTCTGTCGACCATTCCGTACCTTCAAGCTATTTTCTTCTCCCTGTTTCTGGCTATGTATTTAGTCACTCTAGTAGGAAACACTATGCTTATTGTAGCTGTGAGACTAAATACTCAGCTACAGACACCAATGTATTTCTTCCTCAGTAATCTCGCCTTCATTGACATCTGTTTCTCCTCTACTGTAATACCCCAACTTTTGGTAAACACTTTAAATACAGAGGTAAAAATTTCTATGTTAGCATGTGCGACTCAGATGCTCATAGGTTTAGTTCTTGGCTCAATGGAATGTCTACTGCTGACAGTTATGTCCTTCGACCGATATGCAGCTATCTGTAAACCATTACACTACAATGTTATCATGGGCAAGAAACTGTGCATATGTTTAGCAAGTGGATGCTGGACATTCTGTATTATAAATGCCTTTGCTCATGTTACCCTAATTTTTAAATTGCCATTTTGCAGGTCCCACCATGTCAACCACTTTTCTTGTGAGATGCCTTCATTCTTTCGAATAGCTTGTACAGACACCTGGTTGAACGAGATTGCAATGTATATCGCAACTGTGATTATTGTGATATGTTCCTTTTTGTTGACTTTAATTTCATACATTCATATTATTAAAACAATATTACAGATCCAGTCTACTGATAGACGGCATAAGGTTTTCTCGACCTGCGCATCTCACCTCATCGTGGTAAGCCTCTATTACACCACCATCATGTCCATGTACCTGCGCCCACATTCCGCATACTACCCCGAAACAGACAAACATATCTCCCTTCTCTACACCACGGTTACACCACTGCTGAATCCCATTGTCTACAGCATCAGAAATAAACCTGTTAAATGCACTATAAAGAGAATATTTACCAGGAAAATCTTCAGATAATAAAATATTATCTTTACCCTCCCTTGATCTCTTCTTGAGGTTAAGACGTATCATTGATAATGTATGGTTTCTTTTTGTATAATGTAAATGGGAATATAAATGTGTATTGTGTAAAGTAGCACAACTTTATTGAGCCAAAATAGATGTCTGTGTGTTAAAATGGGTTGCTGCTTGGTGGATTTACTGCTTTAATGTTATTGTGTTTGACTTTAACCCCTTCACTACCAGCACTTTTTGATTGAAACGATATTAGCATGATATTTATTTTAGGTGAGGATGTACAGCTAGCATATAAACATATCATAACACAGCACATGTGTCCATAGCTTGCTTTGCAGACAAGCCTAAGATGAAAACATTTAAAAAGTTACACAATTTTTATTTTTCACTTATTTGTTCATTCTTTATAAAAAAATGTTTGGGAGAGTAAAAGCTTTAGATTGAATACATTGTCCTTTGTATTGCGATATTTCCCACAGTGTTTGAAATATTAGCATTAAATAAAACTGCAATGTTTTTTACATAGAGTACGTACGACAAAAATATATAAATAAAAATAGTCAAAAACCTTGCTTATAGATATTTTTAAGGACCCTGAAGGTGTTATTAACAGTGTGGTTTATTGAAAATGGTAATAGAATGTAAACCTAATGTCTGCATTGAGTATAATGCCCACATACACTAAATACAATTAAATCATATATTTCTAAAATAAAAGTGCTTAAAACTGCTATAGCAATCTTTATCAGTCTCTGAACTGCTAATGTAATGTTGACAATAATATGGTAGAGTCAAGTCACTCTTCACCCCTCCCAGGCTGTAAGAATGGGATGACCCATTTAAACTTTCTGTACTGTTTTGAAGCAGTGAGCTGATATTTTCAAAAAAATTGCATTCATTAAATCAATAACTAGTGGCTTCTGGCAGAGAAATGTAATCCTCTACAGGCAGGTAATTCTAACTATAATATAAATGAGGGATTGTGAGGCTTTATGGACTAGATCTTCTACGGCAAAAGACATAAAAATAAAAAACCCAGGTATTGAAGGGGTTAGGAAACACTACACAGCCCACAGCACAAAGTGTACTGCACACACTGGACTAAACACATTACACAAATGTTTTTTTGTTTTATTGCAAAGAGGTATAAACAAATACCTACCATACTCAGCGCAGCATTCACTATGTTGCAATGTGTTACAATGTGCAAAGCACAAGAAGTGGCACTAAAGCACACTTTAAATCAAATAATCTGCCTCTCACAAGAAAAATAACATAAACCAGAAAAATAAATAAATCTACACCAGTGAATCAAAATTGGTGTAAGTGGCACTTGCAGTGGTTATAGGCTGCAGAAATCTATCTACCTCATTAGTCGCAATGACAAAGGCACTGGAATAGCGGCACTGACTAGGCACCGCAGTAACCTCGGATCAATAACAGACTATTTCCTCGAGTATTGTCTACCTCCATAGTCTTCTCTAAAGCCCTTCCCGTTTTTAAAGTATTACCTACCTCCATGCCTGCAAACCAAGGAACATATTATTACAGTGACATTCAAAGGTAGAGCTAGCACTGGTGCAGCAGCACCAGTGCAGGGAAGCTACAGGGGGCCCATCGGATGTCCGTCACTGTTGGAGTCACCTGAGGGGCATTTTTGGTCAGGGGTCTAGCCGTGGTGCCCTGTCAGATTGTCAATGCTGGGAGGAAGTGAATTCAGGGCACTTCCAGTTTACTGCGAGAGCCTGGCAGACTAGACGGTGGGGTGGGGAAGTAGGAGAGACAGCACTATCCCGAGGGAGCATCATCATCAGCCAGGAGACTCACTGAACTCTGAAGAGTATTGTGAGGATATTTATAGGGTAATAAATATTTAAAATAATATTTTCCTAAAAATGATCAAAAATCAATTTAATAACTTTTATTATTTCAAAATTGATATCTTATAACTGTTTGCCCGATTATATTAATTTAAAGTTGAGAATTACACACTTCTCCAGACACCATAATTACTGCAGACCCCACGAACCACCGCAGCTTAGTTGGGGTCTCGCCGTCTCCTACCCACTCTGGACCTACGACAAGGCTCCAGGTTTCAGTGGGTGAACTTCTCTTCCTCCAGAGAGCGCAGCAGGAACAGCTCTTACAAGAGTTGGTGATTATTCAAGGGAATATGAAGAGCACAGCAATCCCTTGTAGCAGTTTCCCTCAATAAGAGATAAGACTCTAGATTGAGGGTAAATCAGGAACAGACAGTTTAATGGCATACACTGGTCTTTTATACAAGTTTTACAGCAAAGGTGATGACCAGGTGGACCATGTTGGGCACTGAATACAAAACATACAAACCAATAAAAACAGAGGTTTACATTCACACACTCCCATACAGTGTACACAATCCCTCCCCTCTGCCTGTGATACAATTAACGAAGACAATGGGCTAATTCAATTAACTCTATGTAGAAAAAACATACATTTTTACAAACCTCAAAAAGTACCCCAAAATACAACATATGCCCACAAAAGCCCCAGTCTTGGTGAACAACATATCCAAAAATCACCCAGATCGGTTCAGGGGTTCAGAAATTTCCTGTAAGTCTTATTTTTGCAGTACCGTGCACATGGTCCCATGCCCAAAACAGTTCCATACATTCGACGACAAAACACTCCTGGACAATTTAAGATGGCCGCCGCCACATGTTTGAATCTGTTCCAGTTAAAAGTCCAAGGGGCAGAAACAGTACTTTTGAACATGGGTTATAACAGGGCCCATAGTCCCAGGGTAGGAGGCTGGCAAACAGGCCCCTCCAAAAACTCATGGCAAACTCCCTTAAAAAGGGCAGTTTATCACACCCACTATTTCGATTCTCATACATCATGGAGTATGTTTCATTAGAGGATTTTATTTCACACATTAATAACAAATTAATTATAAAAATATAATTTATTGTGACAATAATAATAATAATATGTAACATGCATGATAATATCAGTGAATATTTAGGTATTACATAAGTATACAAAATGGCAGTGATTTGACACAAATTACAGATAGTTAAATAGCAATAGTTATATCAACATCTATGCAGTTTTCAACAAGATTTACGACAGGACACTTCACTTTGAAATCAGGTTACTAGACATTCATTAACACAGAACACAGCATCTCACAGCAGCACAGCATAAAGCAACAAAAGCTTTGGCTGACAGTGCGAAATCACACTGCATTAACTAATTCACTGCTGGCTACAATTCTCATAGGCAAGATATCCTATAGAGTTCATTGGTCCACCTGCAGGATAGGAATTACGAATTCTAATTATTATTAATTATGACTCCTTAATGTTGGAATCACCAGCTTTTATCCAAGTATATTCTGCCTTTTAGTAAAATGAATTAATTTAATTAAATTAAATAAAACCAGCATAGTTACCAGCTCTGGTAGTAATTCTCTTTTTTAGGCTTGGATATTTATCCCATAAATGGGGAATGCGGGTATGAGTATAGAGATTTGTGGGAGAATAGAACAGTTTTCAGAGTTCTGAATTTTAAAGAATTTCAAAGTTAAGTGTTAGTTGGAAAAGATACAAAGAATTTGGTGTGTCCAGCTTTGGCTCCAGATGTCAGATCTTAGATGTTAGGTGTGAGTCCATCCTCAGAGTGTGAGAGTCTGAGTGTTTGAGTTTGAGTGTGTCCCTCTTTAATTTTTAAAGGAGGAATACTCTAAAGGTCACTAGTTGATATTGACCACTACAGCCTGTCATCTTGATTTTGGTCAGTAGATGGCGCAATTACATCACAGTAAATTCTTGTCAGGGGGCCCATTTACCTTTTTGTATAATAGGTTAACTGAATTTCGTAATGCGTTTGACGTCATCTTGGTTATCTTTACGATACCTATTCGTCAATGGCATGTCAATCTTCAAAAGTTTTGGTTAATTTAACCAGACTTGTGTTTGCAATTTTCGCCATTAAATTAGATTTCAGACACATCTTAAATTCTTCTTCACCTCTCTATACAATGGACTTAGTGTTATCTGTCATTGGTAATCCTGTGTCTGGTTTTCTTGTGTGAAACTGTGTGTAGCACATAGTAATATTACACATATTCCACTAACGTTAGTAAATAATATGACATTTCTTCATTGATATTATGTCCATGAATATTCTATATTATCAACATAGTACTATTTAAATATGATTAATATAATAATAGTAAGTTATATGTGGATATTGTGTGTGTATATATATTTGTCTCTGGGTTGTTGCGTTCAACCCCCCTTGCTGCAGACATCATGTCTTATCTCTGCCAATGTTTACATTAGTCGCATTCCTTAGCTCAGGCTTGACTGAATAGAATGCAGAGAGAAAAACAAATGTGTCTGTCTTTGCATTGTGATATAAAATGGAGTCACTTCTGTTCTTACTATACACTTACAGTATACACTCTTAATTTTGGCTTAACACAAAATCTCTGCCAGTATAAATATACTGACAGCATCAGTCTCAGTTAGAAGGCCCCCTTGAACCTAGAGAAGTCTGCACCCAGATAGTATCGAGACAGAAGGTTGGCTAAAAATAACTTCTATGTAGGTGTCAGTGTATTTATGTATGTATGTACCGATGTTTCAGTGTGTATCTGTATGTGTATATATATTGGTGCACCTGTGTGTGTCGATGTTTGTGTCAGTATGTGTGTTTAGCGGGACCTGGATAACCCGGCTGGTTATCTCCGTTATTAATTATTGGTCAGACCCATTTCCCCCAGTAACTGGACTATCTACAGCTCCAGGGTACAACCTTTGACAATCTTTATTAAGGCACACAGCTTTTTATGCATGGACCCCCGCAGGGGGTCTCCATCCAACACAACACAAACCCAGGCAGGAGGGGCTGGGTTACAGATAACCAACAACAGGATACAGGGGCGCACATGAAAACACATTACATACAGGGGGGAGGACTTTGGGGCTTGGCACCCCGGGAAGGTTTTACAGGGTTGAAACTTATATTGCTAAATAGCCCCAGGTCCTATATGGGATCCCTGCAAAAAGCGGGGCGATCGGATGTACAGAGCCTGAGATATCAGCATCCAAATTCTGGGGCTCGAGGCTCTGTACAACCCCAAAATTTGTTCCACGATGTTGCTTGGTTTAGTGTGGCGAAGTCACACTTCGCATAAATCAGCGCTCAGGAGAGGAAGGAGTTCCGCCGCCCAATCTAAAGAAAAGGTGCAAAACTTGGTTGCACCAATCGGTGTAAACATTCTAAATGGAGTATCAGGGTGGTCCGGCGCACGGGGCTCTGTGTGCCGGAGCGGCCCCACGTGATTGAAGCTTGTGGTCTGCAGTTTTCCCACCTCGCTAGCAAGATGCGAACATTCTAACTAAACATTCTAAATGGGGTATCGAGGTGGCACACGGGGCCCGTGCGCCAGAACTCCCCCGTGTGGTTGAAAAGTATTTTGCATGATTTAGTGTGAAAATTACAAAAAGGGGAAATTTGTGGGGTCCTCGCAATAACATGGCCAGAATAGCCGGCTTGTGCAGTGCCTGTTTTTTACATCTACATCACTGGACTACTACGGCTACAAATTCTACTTGACCACTATATATATACATAATGGCCTATAGTTCCCCGACTCCTCCCTACTACCTTTCTTGTGAATCGGCACAAAATTCGCTAACTTCCAATCTTCTGGGACTACTCCTGTTAACAATGGTTAAATAAATCTGTTAATGGTTTTGCTGGTACACCACTAAACTCTTTTAACCCCTTAAGGACGGTGGGCGGTCTATGCCGTCCTTGGGGACCCGGCTCTAAACGCTGGTGGGTGACATAGAACGCCCAAGCCGTCCTATGTACTTACCCGGTCCCACATCTGCTGTTCGTGTAGTTATCACTATTTCGTTCTTTTCCTAAAAAAAATGAACAAACTACCGAACAGCCAGACCACCCGCAATGGGAGTGTGCAGCTGATTTAATGCCTAGAAGCTGCAGTTAACCACAGCTATTTGACAAACAGCTGGGTGGTCACCGTTCGTTTGAACAAACACGTGGTGGCGGCCATTTTAAACTGACAACGCCCTGCGGTGCTTGGTCATTGACCACGTGGAACTATTTTCGGACACAATTTCACACAAACACCGCTGGGACTATCTAACTTCCACCTCGTTCGTTTCTATTTACACAAACGCTGTGCTGTTCGGTACAATCAACACACGAATGAGACCGACCCCAGGTAGCTCAATCCATGGAGCTAATTTTGGACATATTTCTAGCGAACAGTCGGTGAACAGAATCTTTAGCTCCATGGTGATTTGACTGTGTTTGTTGGATCTGAGTGCTATTCCGCTATATTGAGCGCTCAGACCCAAGCTATCTGGGGATATGTCGAATCTGGGGTTCCGTTCGGTAACATTGAAGTTATTGATTTTAATGTATTTTTTGGTACAGTGTAAAGTTTAAATATTTTCTCTACCTGGAGATAATTGAGTTTGCTTCAGCCACCTACCCCAATTATCTCCAGGATAGAGAGGAGGTATTTCACTGTCTGTGTGGGTGTGTTTGATACTATACTGTAAAATGATTGCTTACTGTATTTTGTGTTCCAGTCCTCCACAAGGTCCCTGTGGGAGTAACCCTTGCTCGAGGACCTGCATATTTAAAAAAAATAAAGTAAAAAAAATAATACATATATATATATATATATATATATATATATGTATATATATATATATGTATATATATGTGTAAATTTGTTCTGACTGTATTTTAAAATTAATATATATATTGATATCAAAATACATGGGGAACGAAATAATATATATATCTATAAATGCAACTATATACGTATATATCACTATATATATATATATATATATATATATATATATATATATATACCTATGTATAAATAAAAATAATGGTAAAAAATTATATACATATATATATATATATATATATATATATATATATATATGTGTTAAGGCAGTTTGGCCTGTATTTGTGGAAAGGGCTGGAATTAAACAACTCCCCTATATAAGGTACATCCCTTACCTGTCTCCACACCGTTCAAGGTCAGCTTCTGAATGATCCTCCCACCCACTCCTCTTTTACAACACTTTCCTCTTTCAATTCTATCTTACTTTATTTCTTCTTGGCGGGCCCTCATTATTTACAGGCCTACCGTATCGTCGGTATCGGCACACCACAACCGACTTTGCTCATTTATGCTATCTTACGTTCTCACTTGAACCTACTCCATATTCGTCTAAATTGGCCTTTACACAAATATATATATATATACACGTATATATATAATAATTCTACGTATATTTATGTAATTTTATTCATTACAATTTGAGGGACCTGCCTGACAACCCAGGCCAAAAGTCCAGGGAATTTAATTTGCTAGCACTATATTTAACCCTGTAACTTTCCAAGACACCATAAAACCTGTACATGGGGGGTACTGTTGTACTCGGAAGACTTCGCAGAACACAAATATTAGTGTTTCAAAACAGTAAAATGTATTACAACGATGATATCGTCAGTGAAAGTGAAATCTTTTGCATTTTTCACACACAAATGGCACTTACACGGACGCTATAATTGTTGTGATACGTTTTACTGTTTTGAAACACTAATATGTGTGTTCACCAAAGTCTCCTATATATAACTGTATAACAGTACCCCTCATGTACAGATTTTATGGTGTTTTCAAAAGTTACAGTGTCAAATATAAGGCTTGCGTTTCAGTTTTTTCACATTGAAATTTGGCAGGTTGGTTATGTTGCCTTTGAGACCATACGGTAGCCCAGGAATTAAAATTATCCCCATGCTGGAATACCATTTGCAATAGTAGACAACCCAAGGTATTGCAAATATTTGTGACCAAGTGGCTACTAAAAAAGATTGCACATACCCCATTTGCAATACCTTGGGTTGTCTACCAATCTGGCCAATTTCAATGTGAAAAAAATGAAAAATGTAACATGCTATTTTTGACCCTGTAACTTCCCAAAACACCATAAAATCTGTACATAGAGGGTACTGTTTTACACGTGAGACATTGTGTCAAATAAAAGATGTACACTCACACTTTCCTGGAGCTTCAATATAGCTCCAGTGAATAATCCCTGCCTATGGATCAAGTGTAGAGGTGACTCTTCAAATTATAGGTGTGGTAGGGGGTATCCTCATAAAAATTAAACAAATAAAAATTGTACATGGTGAAGTATGTAGAGCTATGAAGTAAGGGTAGGTAAAAACTATAAAATGTGCACTCACGTGTAATGAAGCCATAAAACCTGGCTCCTCTGATAGTGCTTGAGGTGGTATGATCCCCACTGAAGGATACAGGTGTAAATATAAATTCTTCTGTTCATGTATATGTGGAGATAAATAAACAGAACCACAACAGTGTGCACCGTAAAAAGGAGTGTAAGCAGAAATAAATAAGTTAAACCTACTCACATGCTAAAGAGCAAGTTTGCTCAATCCAATGCACTTGGGTGGTATGATCCCCACCAAGGGTATAGCTCCAAACAATCCAACAGCAACAAAGTTAAGTCCAATTAAAAAAGTACTTTAATATTAAAAAAAATAATAAAAGTAATACAATATATAATAAAATAAAATAGTGATTTAAAAAGTTAAAAACAATACACTTAACGCGTTTCTCATTGGATAGGCTTTATCAGTTGCCATTATTGCCACAAGTTGATGGATCTTATTCCCTAAACTGCGAGCATTTGTAGACATGATTCTAAGCTTATCATTTTTTAACACACTTGCTACAGGCACTTTCTATCCTTGTTTTGGGGGGCAATTGGATTGATGTTTTATCAC